CTTTCTGAAGCTAGCCCTGGGGCATGATTAAAACACCCTCATGTAGCTCAGAGTTCTATAAAAAAAATTTATTGATAACTAACAGCTAGATCAGTAGTTTTCAGCCCTGGTCAAATATTTAGAATCAGCAGGCGAGCTTTTTAAAAACATCAAGGTGCAGGAGACGTCCTGAAGATTCTGATTTAGCTGATCTGCATGGGATCCAGGCATCCGTATTTTTTAAAAGCTCCCTCAGTTATTCTAATGTGTAGCCAACATTTGCCAGGCAATTCAACAGTCATAGTTCCACAACTCTTTCTTCAAGGCATTAGGAGAATTTGATTACAAAGGATATCATCACAGCAGGCTTCATGAGTAGGTGGCAATTCACCTGGCACAGTGTCAGAGTCACCATGCATGTCTCCCCACCCACAGTGCCTTCCCCGGCACATTAATGCCTAAAATTCCACCACTGGAGTTTCACTCCTTTGCCTCAACACTTTCCTTTATTTTTAAAAGGGAAATATTTTTGAGATTGCCTCATTTGTCATCTACACCTTGAAACAGGTGGGTTTATCAGATTATTAGAAAAACTGCTAATAGAAGAGTTGATAGCTGAGAGGAGTGGGATGGTTTTTCCCTATTAATAAATAAAGCTACAGAAGGAAAACTGGGAGATAACAATGATGGACCTTCTTTACTTCACAATTCTGAAATAAGTTCCAATATATTATGTCCCATTAAACTTTGCCTCTTGTTTGTGAATTTCCTAGGACTAATTTTTATTGGTTGTTTCTAGGGAAAAAAATCCCACTTTGTTGACGAATTAACCACCTTTTAGAGTTTTTAAAACTGAGATACACAGAAATTAAGCATCTTTTCTGATGTCTCATAAATAGTTTTCTCTGTGTTTGACAATGTAGAAGAGGTTTGACCAGGGGTTAACCCAGAAAGAGTGAGTCATCTAAGATACTTGTCCCAGCAGATCTGTGGGAGGAAGAAATTCTAAGTGTGTGTGTGTGATTAACTCTTGTGCTTCTACTTACATATTTTTATTCAAGACCTAGATTGAGTGGTAATGGCTGCTTTGCACCGTCTAGTTTGGGATTAGTCAATATTTGATTTTGTTCATAGCATAGTTTTTCCTTAAAAATAGTCTCACCCATGATTCATTCATTCATTTGACTATGCTGGATGTCGGGAATTCAGTGGTGAGAAAAAACAGAAACAACCCCTTCTCTTTTGGACCTTACACATTAGAGGGAGAACAAACATTAGTAAATAGATCAGGAAAATGGCTGTTTAATTTAAAATTGTGGTGTCTGTGATGAAGGAAAGTTTTGTGGTTCTAGAAAAGTGTATAGCCAGAGGACATGACTGAAGTGGTCAGAAAGGCAAGGAACGTTAAAAATAGGGGGAGCCGCATGTGCTAAGGTCCTGCAGCAAGGGGGAGTATGACATTTAAGAAACTAAAGGAAGCATAAAGAACTAGAGTGGCGGAAGGTGAGACAAAAGAAGTGGAAAGGGTGATACCGTATTGGACTACTGTCCTCTATCCTAAAAGCAATGGGAAACTCTTGATGGGTTAAAAACTAAAGAAGGACATGACCAGGACCAAATTTTTAAAAGTTACTCTAGGTACAGTGCCAAGGATATATGGGAGAAGGGCAAGTGTGAGAAAGGTAAGGGCAGTTAGGAAGCTATTGCTATAGTGCAGGCAAGAATTAGTAGCTTGGGCTAAGATGGTGGTAGCAGAGACCATGAGGCAGTGGGAATGGGGGATGGGTGAGGGGACTCTTTGGGAAATGAGATGTCCAAATGGTATGGCTGTTGGGGAGATGGAGTGGAAAGGTGAGGATGCCTCTGAGACTTCAGGCTTCTTATATGTGTATAAGTGCATGCTGACCATGCCATTCATTGTGAATAGGAACACTGGGAAAGGACCAAGTTTGGAGGGAACTGAATTTCATTTTCAAATATTGAGCTAGAAATGATTTTGAGACAAAAAAGAATTTTATATTGAAAGCCCATTTAGAATAGAGTAGGACCTCCTTAATTCACAGTAATAATCAGAGATGCATTAAACTTGATCACATTTTACAAATTAGTAAGTAAACAATTTTTAATTAAGGATGCTGTACTTCATCTTGCTGCTTTGCCTTAATTATTAATGACACAATTTCGGAGTGTGTTAGTAAATATGTTATATTTTTAGAAACAATGAAGTCGTGGTAATGGGAGGCCACACTTCCGTAGTCAAGCTAGTAAATCCTGGCTGAGGCAAACATAGAGGAAGCAGAGTGGGGTGTTTTTCTGGAGAGATTTATTGAGCTAACTGAACCAATGAGGTTCATTGGTATTTATGAATGGTTCATTAGTGTAACTATCTGAACACAAGGTGAATTCACATTAAATGATAAGACTTCCCAATAATTAATATGTGCCACTCTTTAGAATTTGTAATTAGAGGAAAGAAGCAAAGTGAAAGGAAATAGATAAAAGGATAGTTGTTATAAAATTAAACTCCTTAAAAGCCAATTCAGTTTCTTTGTGAAGCAAACAAGACAAAAAGGACCAGAAGAATTGAAAATGTATTTTCTCTCTTAGTTGGCAACTCAAGGTAGTTCAGGGTTTCAGGCTAGTTCAGGGTTTCTGTTTCTTATCCTAAGGGCAGTGGAAAATTCCTGAAGGGTTTAAACTAAAGGGTGACATGATCAGGACTGAGTTTTAAAAAGAATTACCTTGCACTATTGACATTTGGGGCTGGATAATTCTTTCTTTTGGAAGACTGACCTGACCTGTGCTTTGCAAATGGTTAGCAGCATCCTTGGTCTCTACCCACTAGTTACCAATAGCAATCCCCTCCCCAGTTGTAAAAATGAAAAAAAGTCTACAGACATTATCAAAATATACCATGAGGGGCAAAATTGTCCTGCTGGAGAACCACTGAGCTAAATTTAGAATGCCTGACAATGTCATTTGACAACCATTTTCAGGTTTGTTGGCTTTTATTTTGCTTAATAAATGTTTACTAGGGACCTTCTCTGGTGTGATGTTCAAAGAGGAGTAAGAGTCTCTCTGCTTTTAAGGGGTGTGTGATGGTGGGGAAGGGGTGGAGAACCGACAAATTTGGAAATTAAAGAATGGTGGGGAAAGATATTGTGTTAGACTAGTCTTGCATTTCTGTAAAGGAATATCTGAGACTGGGTAACTGATCAAGAAAATAGTTTTATTTTGACTCACAGTTCCACAGGCTGTACAAAAAGCATGGTGCCGGCACCTGCTCCTGGTGAGGGCCTCACGGAGCTTACAATCATAGTGGAAGGTAACAGGGAACCAGCATGTCACATGGCAAGAGCATGAGCAAGAAGGTGAGGTGGGAGGAGGTTCCAAAACAATCAGATCTCGCATGAACTGAGAACTCATTCATCACCTAGGGGATGGTCCTAAGCCTTCATGAGGGATCTGCCCCATGATCCAATCACCTCCCACCAGGCCTCACCTTCAACACTGGGAATCACATTTCAACATGAGATTTGGAGGGGACAGACATCCAAACTATATCAGATACTATTCCAAAATAAGGTAGGAAAGGATGCTTATTCAAGTGTAGGCTTCCATGCTAACCTAGAATTATCCCGTAGCTGGGTTTTTCTCAGTGGCAAGATCTTAGGTTCTGACCTATCAATCACTCTGGTCGTCTGTGTTCACTGATGAGAGAATTGAATATGAGAGAAGAATCCCCAGCAATTCCAGATGAAATATCCTTTGCATAAAGTTTCTCCTGACCTCTCTGGAATTTTGCCTGACCCATTATAACCTTTCTCTTCTATCTTTTCCTCTCACCTAACTCCATCTGGTCCTACCAACATTCTTAAATTTCATTGAACTTTCGGGGAAAAACAAGCAGACTCATCTTTAACCCTGCCTGTCCTGTCAAGTATGTATCATTCTATTTCTCATCCCATCCCATAAAAAAGAAACCTCTGCAGCTGGGCACAGTGGCTCACACCTGTAATCCCAGCTCTTTGGGAGGTCAAGCCGAGTGGATCACAGGTTCAAGAGATCAAGCCCATCCTGGCCAACATGGTGAAACCCCCTCTCTACTAAAAATACAAAAACTAGCCAGGCGTGGTGGCACGCACGGGTAGTCGCAGCTACTCGGGAGGCTGAGGCAGGAGAATCACTTGAACCCAGGAGGCGGAGGTTGCAGTGAGCCAAGATCTCACCACTGCACTCCAGCCTGGGCGACAGAGCGAGACTCCATTTCAAAAAAAAAAAAAAAAAAGAAAAAGAAAAGAAAAGAAAAGAAAGGAAACCTCTGCCATGATACAGACGTGATTCTCTCCTGCATAACATTCAACTTTTATTACCAAATTCCACAACCTTTTTTGTGTTCCCTTTAACATTGATGGCCAACCTTCCCCTTCATTTCTACTTCTTCCAGGTTTCTTTGGTCATACCCTTGCTTTCTGTCCCACTGGAATCATTTATTTTTCTTCTCTGGCTCTTGCCAATAGACTTAGTGACCAAGTATTTAGTGAATTTAAACACCTGATGCGCTTTGACTCCCCATTATTTCTCTCTCACTTAAAGTAAGGAAGTGCGTTTGTAAATAAAATTAGACTAAGCTGTTCATTGCCACCCCCAGAATGGGTTTTTTTTTTTTTTTTCCAGATTAAATGTGCCAGTGTGAACTTTGCAATCAGGGTGGCTCCTTTTTAGGAAGAATACTACATTTCATTGTGCTGAAGGCATTGTTCTGACATTTCACATGACAAAACGCATCCCTGCTTCTGTTCCTGCCTGCCGCAAATGCAGGCGAGTCATTAACTCACCCTGAAAGCTGCTCCTCTTTGTTTTACTGTAACACCTTTGGAGGAGTTGAAAGAAAAATGAGTTCTTTCTGCCCAAGAAAATTATAAAGAATTTTCAAAACTGATATTCAGTGTCTTTGGGACATTTTTAATTCACTTAGAAAAATACAGAAATGAATGTTTTGTTTTGACATTTTTTGATAGTGCCTTTTGCTGAATATCCCCAAAGACCCAAGCAGTTGGAAGAACTGGACGCATGCTCAACATTTCTGTGCTGAAGAAGCAGGGACCCTGGTCGCCATTGAAAGTGAGGTCGAGCAAGGTAGAGTACTCAAGATCCAACCAACCAGGCCAAGATAACCATTTTTGTTCAAGTATTTATTAAAATATCCCCCCACCAATACTAACATTCCCAAATCAACATTTAAAATACTGTATTGCTGATGATACATGAATTTTCAGTTTCACCCATAGATTTTATTTCATGATATCTGTAAAAGTTAGTGTGCTGCATTGCTTATAAACTGCTGGGTTTGGGAGCCTTTTCTCTTACCAGTAGCAGTGGAAAGAATAAGGACATGTTTATGGCCTATATTTCAAAATGGCTAAAAGAGTCTCAGGTATAATCTACATGTAATTGCATGGTATGATTTTTAGATCCCTTTAGATTTACCTACATGCTTTTGTTTGATATTTAAACAATTATTTACTTTAGTTTAAATATAGTAGGTAAATCCTCTTTTGTTTAGAAAGGTAATTAATGAATACTGGAAATTGTTTTGTTAATGATATGATGAAATCTCAGGTTATCCAGCTAATTTCTGTCAATTTAAGCTAAAACAAAAGTGAAAGAAACTGCATTACCTTAACAAGGATAAAGTAACAAATTCCTACAAATGATTCATAATTATGTTTTGCTGGCATTTAAATATAATCATAGCTATAAATAGGATTCAGTGATTACCCAAATGCTTTCTGCAGTATTAAATTAGATAATGTATTCCTGCTTTTCAGCTTTCATTACTATGAATCTTTTTGGCCAGACCACTAATGTGTGGATAGGTTTACAAAATGATGATTATGAAACATGGCTAAATGGAAAGCCTGTGGTATATTCTAACTGGTCTCCATTTGATACAATAAATGTAAGTTTTAAGATTCATTTTTTAGAGATCACTTTGGCAAGATATTTTATTCAAGACTTGTTTATTAAAGCTTTTTTATTTCCTGTATTTTGTAGGTATAACTTTATATTAGTTTGTCATTAATACATTAATTTTTAATGTAATTTGATATAATTTTATGTGTTCCATAAATGTAATTACTTTACTCACCACAATAATTGTTGATTTTGTAGGTTATGAAATGACTTGTGAATAAGTTTATTAAATGCAAATAAAGGAATAATGGTGTCTTTCTAAAAATAATGTTCTATTTTAAAAATAATGTTCTTAATACAAATTTTAATGTTATAATAATGCTATATGTTATCATACTTTTGATAATATGCATTATTTTAAAGATTCCAAATCACAGTACCACTGAAGTTCAGAAACACATTCCTCTCTGTGCCTTGCTCTCAAGTAATCCCAATTTTCATTTCACTGGAAAATGGTATTTTGAAGACTGTGGAAAGGAAGGCTATGGGTTTGTATGTGAAAAAATGCAAGGTGAGAAATATTTGGATTTTTATTCCTTTCATTTCCAAAGTCCATCCTTCTCTTCCATGTTGGTTTTACACAGCTGTGTAGCTAACAGCTTCATGGCTAACAGCGTCAGGCACTTCTTTGGCTTTACGTAAGTTTAGTTATTTAATCTCCTCTACCCTAGTCTTACGCCCTTTAGTGGGATTCTAAGGACTGCTGAGGCCACTTGAGTGATGACCAGATTTATGTATCTATCTATCTTAGTCATATTAAATGGTTTTACTGCTTCGTTCTGGGATTATGTATCTGTTCAGGTAATTCTTAAAGGTCACTGAGAAAATGTTGGGAAAGAATCAGGGAAATAAACCAACTCATACTGGCTCCATTTTTGGAACCCTGAAAATGGTCTCTGTGGCTAAATGTGGTATGCAGCAAGCTTCTAGACCTGATGGGCAGAACCCCCAAATGGTTTCTGTGTGAAATGCCAAAGCCACACTATTACAAATAGCCAACAGGGTCAATGAGCAGTGTGAATGCACTATAACTGACCTTGAGTAGTATAAATAAAAACAACAGCTCATGCTTTTATTGAATGCTGGGTATATACCCCTGCCCACACCACCCAAGAAACCCATAGTTGGTGTCTAGAGCTGTGTGGAACTCTGGGCAGTCTAGCATATATATATATGCTTATTTGGAATAGGAATTTTACTTCTGAATGTGGCATGCGTGTGAAGTCTCTAATGTTACTATCAACCCATCCTCGAAAAAGCAGTGCCAGGGAAGCTCCATTTCTGGTTCTCAGTTACCACTTAAACATTATAGTGGTCAGGAACTGAAAAAAAGATACTAGATCTGTAATAGCAAGAGTAATATGGGAACAGCAGAGCCTTGTAGGGAAAGAAATAATATGAGCATGCCAGGTACTTACACGTTTATGATGTGCCTGACACTGTGCCTTGAGTGTATGCTCAGTTTGCCATAAAATCCTCAAGACAGTTCTATGAAGTAAGTAAAAGTTTCCATTTTACAGATGAGGAACTCTAGGCTTAAAAACATAAGTAATCCTTGCTGGGCACGGTGGCTCACTCCAGTAATCCTAGCACTTTGGGGGGCCAAGGCGGGTGGATTGACTGAGCTCAGGAGTTCAAGACCAGCCGGGGCAACATGGTGAAACCCTGTCTCTACTAAAATACAAAAAATTAACCTGGCATGGTGGTGGGCACCTGTAGTCCTAGCTACTAGGGAGGCTAAGGCACGAGAATCACTTGAACCCTGGAGGCGGATGTTGCAGTGAGCCGAGATCGCACCACTGCACTCCAGCCTGGCCTACAGAGCAAGACTCTGTCTCTGGGAAAACAGCACAACACAACACAAAACAAAACAAAACAAAAATAACACACTCAAGAGAATCTCAGTTAAACACAATGATTTTATTCCACTACCTTAATGTTGATTTATTCTTGGAATTTACCCTCTGATCACTTTCTCTCTTTGGTATTTTTGGGACTAATAGTGTAGATTTTTCTTTAGAGATAGTATAGAATAGTGGGGATTGAGAGCATAGGCACTGGAGTGCCCACCACACATGGGTTCCCACCCTCCTTTGTAGATAAGCTTCAGTCAAGTCATGACCTTCTGTGATCATGATTTCTGCATCTGCAAAATGTGGTAATAACCATCTCACACACTCTATGTATATATAACACTTAGCATACTTCTAGCATGTATTTAACAAATAATAGAGTTTTTTATTATTTCCAAAAAGTATTGTTCAACTACACTAATTATTGTAGCCAACAATGACTATTCAAGTTCTGCTCCTCTTCTCCATTTGCCAGATACATATGTGCTCACATTGGGCCTGAACTCAAAGTCTTTTATCTACCAAAACAATTAAGAAACCAAATAAGAAGAGACACAATGGCAAACCAAGACTCCCCAGTTTAGAACTTGGTTTCCAATAGATCTTTCTTTTTCAGGGCAATGGGTGGAAAAACCCTGCTGCTCAAAAATCACTTGTTTTGAAACTTAATGGAATCAATTACATATGGAGAAATTTATATATGTAAAAATACAGACATATAACTCAGTGGGGGAAAAAAACAGTCAAATTGGCATTTGGGTAACATATACAAAGAATTTCATTTGATTTTATGAATTGTTAGCATTTTAAAATAGCTACTTTGATATTATTTTTATTTTGTATGAATAACCATTACACTGGACATATAGGCTGGGCACAGACTTCTAGCAAAGAATAAAAATATGATAAAAGTGTGATCCATCACAATTTATAGAAATTAAATAAATTCATTTTACTTTGGTTTTTCCATATGTATGGCTGCTATATTGAGGTAATGGTTTCAGATAAAGGTCAGTTTCCCACTTTGCCATTTTTATTGGAGGGAGTATGACCGGAGGCGGAGAGTGGAGGAAGAAGCAACAATCATAGGATGCTTTCTGTGTCTCCATACAATAGTGTGTGCGCTGTGTGGATATCTTGTTCAATTCCATCCACACCTCTCCAAGGGAGATCATCATCATCTCTTGGATACCATAAATTTGAGGTTTAGAAAGATTTATTTGCCCAAGGGCTCTTAGCCAGTTAGGGCCAGGAATAGGATTAAGTCCCAGTCTCATGACCTATCCACACCTCACATGCTTCTTTCCAACACCAAATGTTGTTAAACCAGTACACAGAAAATTCAAGTCACTTTGGATCAGAAGGTACAAAAATTCTTACCTTGTTTTTGTCCTTTAGGTTTTCTAAACCTTTAATCTATCCTAGTATATAACATAATACAGAACAGAAAGGCAAACGCACATATTAGAGAGGAAACACCTGTTCATAAACACAGGCTTGGTTTTCACATGATCAGAGGCACTCACGAACACTCAAGCACCAATGCTTGACAACGTGTGGGAAAACCTTGCCTTTTAATTTATAAACCTTGACTGTGACAGGTGACATATTAATAGTAACTGTTTATAAGAACAGTGTGTATTTCTAAGAATTTATTAACTTTATTTTTTAAAGTTCCTTTTAGAATTTATACATGCAAACATTAAGCACAATAGTGACTATCAGTGTCAAAAGTGTTATCAAGTATTTTACCTGATAATATGCACCTGTAATATTAGGTTTGCAATGCAGTATGTGACTATATAACATGTGCCTCGCTGCTACTAATAAGCACTAAGTTCTGCCAGAGCAGTGTGGATTAGGCCAAGTGTAGTTAGCGTAGTGAAACCCACCTAAGATCATCACCATCAGTTCCACCAAAAAGCAGTCAATTTGATAAAGGATGGTCAAAAAGGGGAAATCTTCTAGAAATGGTTCAATCAATGTTTATGTTTTTGAAAAACGATTCATTAAATTTCCTAAGTGTTCTCATTTTTTAGCATCACCTACACTTTCAGATAGTGTCCTCGTTTTGAAACAGTCAATTCCAGAAGAAAGCTCTGTGATCAACATGGATCATAGTGACAAGGATCTATGCTAAGCTTTGCCTCCTCCTTTGTCATCCACATGCTACAAATGACCTTTGTTGCTGTTCTTGTTCTAGATACTTCTGGACGTGGTGTAAATACATCTGATATGTATCCAATGCCCAATACCTTAGAATATGGCAACAGAACTTACAAAATAATTAATGCAAATATGACTTGGTATGCAGCAATAAAAACCTGCCTGATGCACGGAGCACAGCTGGTCAGCATCACAGACCAATATCACCAGTCCTTCCTCACTGTTGTCCTCAACCGGCTAGGATACGCCCACTGGATTGGACTGTTCACCACAGATGTAGGTATCCTAACTCCCTTGAGACATCCTTGAATAATTAAGTTTAGCATCTACCTCCTTCCTCCTTCGTGATCTGGCCACTGAAATTAGCACTGAAAAAAAAAATCTCAAAAATAATAATAAATATAATACTTAAATAATTGGTTTATGCAATTATTTGACCAACCTTATGAGCAGCCTATGACTACAAAATAAGAGTACACACCTCTTTAGGGTAAACATCCACTTGCCTAATGTCTGGAAATCAATACCCTTCAAAGGTTCTCTGAAAATTTCCAAGTACCCCGATACTGCCTTGCCTGTGCACTGGAACACATCTGAAACTCAAGCACTGCATTTGGGAATTGGTGGCATTTTCAAGAAAAAAATGAATCATTCTTCTTGTCTAGAAATGTGATTATTAATTAGTTCAGTACCCCTTATAATTAAGCACTTGAGGTTTTATTTTCCTCTAGGGATGTGGTTTAGAGAATACGTTATTTTCATTTTTTAAATAAAAATATTGTACACTCAAAGTAGCGAAAAGTACACTAGTCTATCCTGACCCCTAGTTCTACTCCCTAATGTCAGTAATTGTGAACACTGTCTTGCGTGCCATCTAGAAATTTTCCATGTATGCACATATATATTCACGTAATGGAAGAATATGTATATTATTTTTCAAACACAAATGAGATCCTATTCTATATGCTGTCTTTAAACTTGCTTTTTAATTTAATATATCTTTTACAATTTCACATGTCAGCACATAAAAATCTCGTGAATTCTTTAGAACACGGCATGTGAGGATGTACTACAACTTATTAAACCATTCTCCTGTGAATAGGCATTTGGGTTCTTCTCTGTTTTTCACAGTTATAAACAATGCACATGAAATATCCTTGTTCCAGTAGGATAATTTTTTAGAAGTAAAATTGTTGCATACACTTTAAATTTTGACAAGTACTACCAAATTGCCCTCCAAGAGTTTGCACCATTTTACATGCCAACAACAGCATGTGATAACGTCTAATTTTTTCACATCCTTGCCAACACCAGGTATTCTCAAAATTTTAATCCTTGCCAGTGGGAGAGATAAATGAATGATATTTCATGATGATTTATTGCATCATATAGTACAGAATGTTTTAACTTTATGTAGTCAATTTTACTTTATGGCCTCTGGATTTTCTATGACTTAGAAAGGTTTTCCCCACACCAACAGTACAAAAAAATTTAACCAAGTTTTCTTTAACATGTTTACATTTTTAATTTTATGTTTGAATCTTTGATCGATCTGAAATGTATTTCACTGTAAAAGACAAGGTACTGGTCCAATTTCACGCTGATTGCTTACTAGAAAATCATAGTGGCAGGGAGCCAAGAATTCCTACAAATCAAAAAAGATCTCGTTTGTGGCAGATATTCGTGTTTGTCAAGCTGTATTCACAGATGTCCTCGCCCCTCTTTAAACAGGTGTGTGAAAATAGCAATCGATGTGGGAATTGTAGTATGCTCAGATAACATTGGGTGATGCTGCCAGCAGTCATGGCAAGGAAATGATGGCTCAGTTTTCCTCCACAGAATGGTCTTAATTTTGACTGGTCTGATGGCACCAAATCCTCTTTCACTTTTTGGAAAGACGAGGAGTCCTCCCTCCATGGTGACTGCGTTTTTGCCGACACCAACGGACGCTGGCATAGCACAGCCTGTGAGTCATTTCTGCAAGGTGCCATTTGTCATGTGCCCCCTGGTAGGTACAATTCTATTCAACTCAAAAATATACCCTATGTAACTACTGTATGCAAGGCACTATGCTAAGCAAGGGATATGAGGATGAGTATAGTAAGAAGTCTCTGTCTTCAAGAAGCCTCTGGTCTGGTGGGTGATGTAAAGAAAAACAGAACTACAAAATGATACAAGAGAGGTAGCAAATGTTGTGGGGGTTATCAAGAAACAGAATGCATTGTATCCATTTGGAGAAAGGTAGAAAGGCTTCTTGAAGGACACGGCAGTGCAGATGGACCTTGATAAATGAGTGGGTGTAGATGGCTAATAATGGGACATGGAAAGGCATTCTGAGCAGAAAAGCTGGATGAAAATGGGGAAGGAAGGCAGGACTAGGATTGTGTAAGGCAAAGCCGATGTTGGAATTTGCCTGAATGCAGGTTAGGCGTAAGGGAGGGGTGGGAAATTAGATGAGAAACATGGGCTTCAAGCATGTGTAGAGGACTTTGAGGATTCAAGTTTAAATCAAAGATGGATAGGATTCCAGAGCTACAATAAGATGATGGTGATATTGTTTGGATATTTTGTAGCTATCTGGCTCTGCACTTTACATAATATCTCATTTACACTTAAAGTTCACCTGTCCTAACCCCTTTATTAAAAATGAAATGTAAATTCAGAGCATTAAATAGCTTCCTAAGTGTCTCACAGCTGTCCATCACCAGTACCAAGAGTAGAAATCAGGTTTCCCGCACAGAATTCGCTAACACAAGCTGGCCTCCTTTTAAATCTCTCATTTAGTAAAAGTGCATGTATTTACTTGCATTCTGGGTACTGTATCAAATAACATACAAATTATATATCTTTAGATCAAAACAATCCAGATTAAATGTAAATGAAGCCACATGTATCTTGGAAAAGCTAATTGTGCTTCTAAAACACCATAAAAGCTGTCCTTCCCCCCCAACTTTTTTTTTTTTATTAGCTCTTGCCTTTTCTTGGAATCTTGTCCTTTCAATAACAATGCATTTATTGAATGCTTAAGAAGTGTCAGGCTCTAACTCATTGAAACTTCTCAACTTGTAAGGAAGGTGGCTGTGTGGCATACACCAGTAATCCCAGCACTTTGGGAGGCAAGAGCAGGAGGACCTCTTCAGACCAGGAGCTTGAGACCAGCTTGATTAACACAGTGAGACTCTTTCTCTACCAAAAAAAAAAAAAAAAAAATCAATTATCTGAGCTTGGTGGTGCGTGCCTGTAGTCTGCTACTTGGGAGGCTGAGGCTGGAGGATCACTTGAATCCAGGAGTTTGAGGCTGCAGTGAGCTGTGATTTTGCCACTGCACTTCAGCCTAGGTGACAGAGTGAGACTTTGTCTCTTAAAAAGTTTTCTGTAATTTAAGAAAAAAATTTTTAAAGGTTTTGTTGTTAGCTCTCTTTTATAGATAAAGAAACCAAGTGCAAGGTAACATGCCCATGGCCACGCAGCTAGTAAGTGGTGGAGCCGGGATCTCAGCATGGATGTGTCTAACTCTCATGCTGGCTCTCTGAAATAAAGTCCCCCTGGAGTTCCCTTATTTATTTTATGTTATGCTACATTATGATACTTTATTGAATGCATTATTTTCTTTCATAGGTTTATTAGTGGGTAAGGACTTTTCAAATCTGTGATACACGGCACTGCATGAAATGCATACATTTGGAAATCTCTTTTGCCAGCGTCAGTCAGCTGCCACTCTCTCTGGGAGTCATAGCCCCTGCTTGTTCCAACCTTTAGGATGCTAACTGTAAACATGAAAGAGCCACGCTCACCCAGGCAGCACCCAAACTAAGCCTACAAAGTTGTGCATTAGCATATTTTGTTATGTTTATGTAAAGATTCTTTCTGTCAGAAATGCTATAAACTGGCCGTAGTTTTATAATCATTTACATGAAACCCAATCTTTTGGAGTATTACCATGAAAATCTTGTTACATATATTTAGCTTGGTCTTTTATAAAATGTAGTATAATATTTATCTCAATAAATAAACCCAGTCACCACCCTGAAATCATAACTGGTTTTTCTTCACAGAAACAAGACCATCTGAACACCCAGAGTTGTGCTCCGAAACATCTATTCCCTGGATAAAATTTAAAAGTAATTGCTACAGTTTTTCTACAGTCCTAGACAGTATGAGTTTTGAGGCTGCTCATGAATTTTGCAAAAAGGAAGGTAATTGTTTTTGTGATGGTAAAAATGCTTTAATGTGCTCCTTCTTGCCATTTCAGTAAACAATGTGGATTTCTTTATTCATCCCATTATTTAGTGACTTTAGAAGCAACAAAAACTATTGAAAAAATAAATACTATTAAAATTTCTTGTTTGGAGGACAGCTACTATATGAAACAGTGTCCAGTGTAAATTTGGAAACCTAAGATGATGTCTCAGCATACTGCACTTTCTGAAGAAAACGTTCCTTTTGCATGCATTTGCATTATGAATTTTGAATGTTCCCTAAAATTAATATTCTATGCCTTAACTTCTGAAGTGCAAGCTTATATCTTTTTAAAACTGTGGTTTTACTTTTTTAATTTAAAGTATCTTATTTACAATGGAAATTTTCACTTTTCAAAACCTGAGCTTTACAAATAATGGTATAGGAAACATTTTTTTAAGTATATTTATGTGTAAACACAAATATTCCTTTGCTACTTGTCTCTCTTATAGGTTCTAATCTTTTAACAATCAAGGATGAGGCTGAAAATGCATTTCTCCTAGAAGAGCTGTTTGCTTTTGGTTCTTCTGTCCAGATGGTTTGGTTGAATGCTCAATTTGATGGTAACAGTAAGTGATTTGGGTAGAGGAGAGGACATAAATAAATACATGGTTGTTAAAGCTGATGATAATGGCATCTGTGAGCCAGAAAACTCTCCTTGGATACATTTTCTGTGGAAAAAAATAGCATGAAGCCTACAGCCATTTCTTCCAAAAACAACACTGCAACCCTTTTCTCTACGCTTTTGTCTTTTAAAATAATCCCAGAACACCAAAAATAAAAACAAACAAACAATAACATGTTTATCTTTATGCTTAGCAGGAGGATGCTTGACTGGAACTTTGTGTTCACAGACTTAGTCACCGCATACCAAAACCATATTTACTTGAAAATATCCCAGGTTTCTAAATGTTATAAAAGCACAATAGAGTTATGGAAATGTTTCCATGATAAACTGTGCTGTTAGGATTCTGATTTGTTACTCATAAAAACCAGAGTTTGTAATAAAATGGAATCATGGTATTCTTTTCTTTATGTAATTGATGGTTATTGAAAGGTACTTGTGAAGAAAATTATTTTAATTGGTATGGAGAGCTTGTTATAGTGGTGTACCAAGGTGGGGGGTGAGCCTACCCTTTCGAGGAGGAGTATTTTAATCACCAACATTGTTCAGAATTTCAAGCAGATGGTGATAATAAAAAGCAGACCAACTTTTAGTTAGCTGTATTGTTAGTTTTAAATTATTTTCAGACAATACACTATTGCCCACACATGGGATGGACTGTCCTACCGCCCCTACCCCTTTGGTACATGGCTGGCTTGCTATTAAAGAAATTCACTGTAAAATCTTTTTAGAAAGCGAGCCATTTTGTAATGATGAAGATGTTAGGACTTCAAAGGATTTTTCTTGACTCAATTAGTTTTGTTTATCAAATGATTTCTTTAAATTGATCGTATATATATGGAATATTTCAAAATTCAAACTGTCACATTAAGAAACATGATAACCTAAATGACCTAAATTAGAACACTGTACCTAAAATAAAGAGGTAACTTTATTAACGCCTACTTTTTGATGCTGAGTACATGACTATATTTACTGAGTTGAATGTATTAGTTCAAGAGTCTCATTAAATTCAGGGGGTGCTTTTTATGGTTAATTCCAGTCTTAGTATGTTTGGTAACCGTGCACATAATTCATAATGAGTCGGCGATTTTCTCACAGATGAAACCATGAAGTGGTTTGACGGAACTCCCACAGACCAGTCAAACTGGGGCATTCGGAAGCCAGACACAGACTACTTCAAGCCCCATCATTGTGTTGCCCTGAGGATCCCGGAAGGATTATGGCAGCTATCCCCGTGTCAAGAAAAGAAGGGCTTTATATGTAAAATGAAGGCAGGTAGGTAAAATCAGAGAGTAATTCTTCATTTTGATTCTACCTTAACTAATGTGACTGATTTCTTCAGCATTTAAAGGTTTTAAAAACCAAGTTTAGAGAATATTCAGAAAGATTCTGACATTATTGTCGTGTTCTACACCAAACAAGTCAGAGAATAGTTCAGCTCCTTCTTTCTCTGATAGGAAAAAAAAAAAAATCATTATAAATCAGCTAAAAGACTATGATTTTTCTTGTGTTACCCTGGTTGATCACCTAATGGGCAAAAAAGCATTTTCCCTCAAGCAAATACAACTAGGAATGTAAACCAGCAACCTTCATTCTGGTGACTGCTATTCAGAATTCTTAAGGTTTATGTTTTGTCTCAGGCAATGTAATCTAGGCTTATGCACATTTGTTGTGGACAAGGAGATGTTATTCTCTGTTGCAAGCATAATGTGTCCTAAAAGTCACATTCTAACTTAATCATGAGCAACATACTTCGTGTTTAGTAATTAAAAAAGAAAACAATAATTTTAGAAATCTAAGCTAGAAACTTCTAGTCAGTTGCAAACAACCAAAGAGAGGGTGTTAAGGAGGATCACTGATGGTGGGAAAATGTCTATAATAATTACAGCAATTTCTAGATGTCAGTATTATAAAGTAGGGATCGCTGTGGCCTGGACTACTAGAGAAGGCTGCAGACGTGAGGTTTTAGGATCCCAAAGGATGAAGAGAATTATAGAAGCTGGAGCAGAAGAGGAAAAGGCCCAGCCTGATTAAAGGCAGCAACTAAGAATGTATTTCAATTAGAGCAAAGGGCTCACGTTAGGGGGTGATGGGAATAAAATTGGACAGTAATGTAGGATCCTTTCACAGAGAGTGCCAGGCTAAAGAGCTAAACTTTGTGGTGGAAGAGACAAACCCCTATGTGCTCTGTAGACACCTGTGATGAAGTAGAACTCATGAGGCTATGAAGAGAAACATTTGTAATTTAAGTAATTGAACTAGGAATGAAAGAGGAGGGGCGAGATAGGAAGAGAGAATCACCAGCCTTGGTGACTGATCTGATACTGGGAATGAAGGAGAAAACACTGTAGGTGTGGGCACCAATGTCTGAAATCCCCACAATGTGAGTCTCAACTCTGTGTGAAAAACATGGCTAAGCCTGATAAATAATGTGACCAAGTTATCACTAGCGTTTAAACATCAAGAACAAATCAGAAACACTTCATGTCTTATAGGACTTTAAGGCTTCCTATTATGCAGATGACACCCTTTCATCCTTTGTAGCAGCTTTCCAAGGTTGTGGAGCAATTTAAATATCCCCATTTTACAGATGGGAAAAGTGCCTGTCCAAACTGAGGCTACATCAAGGACTACAGAGAAAACTCTTAAGTTTTCTAAGTGCTCCTTGCATGCCGCCCACTGCATCTATTCTGAGAACAAACACTCTTAACAGTCTTTCTTAAAGATGTATCTTTGTGTTTAAAGTGATGGTTATCCCAAGTACACTGTATAAAGTGTATGACTATATTCAATTATCACTTGTATTCTGAAAATTTGTGCATCTGATATGCATCAATTTAAAAGAAGTGTCTTCATAAAAACACAATAATACGTGTTTTCAACAGTTTAATGCAACGTTAAATGGCATTGTTTTTATATTAAAAGAACAAGTCTGGGCCAGGTGCAGTGGCTCACACCTGTAATCCCAGCACTTTGGGAGGCAGAGGCAGGTGGATCACTTGAAGTCAGGAGTTCGAAACCAACCTGGCCAACATGGCAAAACCCCATCTCTACTAAAAATACAAAAGTTAGCTGGGTGTAGGGGCGCATATCCGTAATCCTAGATACTAAGGAAGCTGAGGCAAGATAATTGCTTGAACCCAGGGCAGAGGTTGCAGTGAGCCAAGATCGCACCATTGCACTCGGGCCCAGGCAACAGAGTGAGACTTCATCTCAAAAAAAAAAAAAAAAAAAAAAAAAATCTGTTTTTTAAGAGTATGGTTTTGCTATTGGTAACGGTGTTTATTTTTTTCATGTCTATCAGAGTGAATGCGCATCAGTAGGACATCAAGGCACTTTTTTTACTCACAAATCCATTTCTTCTTCTTCCTCTGGTTCATTCTCTATATCTTTCTCTGGATCTTTACCTAGATCAAAAATAGAAGAGTTCACATTTTGATATAACATCTACTTAAAAGATGTGTTTTTACAGTAGAAAGTTTTAAAACAGGAACTCTCTAACTTTTTGGATGGAGAAGCTGTTGCTCATTCCCCAAGACCCATGAGACCACAAAGGTGAGAAGATGCTGATTTAAAAATCCTTGTAAAGAGGCAGGCAGATTATCATTGCTGGACAAACTCCATATAAGATCCCAGCAAAACTGTGAGTTCCTTGTATGCAGGGTTTATATTTTACTCTATATTTATTGCAGCACAGTGCTGGAACTGAATGAAAACTTTTTGGCTTGAAAAAAAAAAAAACAGGGTGTGTGTTTGTGAGCACTAATAACAGTGATTACAGTAAATCAAAGGTCAGCAAATTTTTTTGTAAAGGGCCAGCTAGTAAACATTTTAGACTTTGGGAGCCATATGGTCTCTGTCACATGCCATTGTAGCACGAAAGCAGCTGTAACGATACATCAATGAATGAGTGTGGCTAAGTTCCAGTAAAACATTTTTTGTAAAAACAGGTGACCCAGTTTGTTCCATGGACCATAGTTTGCTGATCCCTGTGTAAGTAATGACATATTTTTGCTGAATTAAAAGAAAAACCTCATTTTAATTTTTGTATTTGATCTTAGATATTCGCACTGCAGAGAAGCTGCCAGAAAAAGGTACGTTTGAAACCATACAGAACATTTTGATTTTTCTTAGAAATAATAAGATAGAAAGCAACTGTATGACAGTATCTACATTACTTCATCGCCATTGACATTTTTCTTTTAAAAAAATATATATATATTCTTTCAGGACCAAGTCACAGCATCATTCCTCTTGTGGTAGTCCTGACACTCATAGTCACTGTGGCCATTTGCACTCTTTCCTTCTGCATCTACAAGCATAACGGTGGTGTCTTCGGGAGACTTGCAGGGTTTCGGAATCCTTACTATCCGGCAACCAACTTTAGTACGGTACATTTAGAAGAAAATATTCTCATTTCTGATCTTGAGAAGAGTGACCAATAATAATGAGGTCAGAGAATGTCCCAGCCACCAGGGTGAGTAAAGAAGACTGAACAGGAGTCTCATCTGCCTTTCCCTTTACAGCCCACATGCTATTAGAATGTGAATTGGGTCACTATTTTAATTATTCTTGAAGTGATTACTGGTTTTGAATTTTAACCAAATCAGATGGGTTTTGATGTATTCATTTCCCTAAACTGTGATCCATTCTTAAAAAGGGGAAATTATGCATTGGTTGTTTTTCAGAAAGACAAGAACTATTAAAAGAAACTCCCTATTGAAAATTCTCAAATCAATATGAGTAATAGTTTTTGCATTAATGTGTCTCTACTAAAATTTGGGGGATTAAAACTAATCTGGTATCTAGTCAGACATTTACCCACACTTATACCATTAAGAAAGACAGAAAGAAGCAAAAAACAATTACTCTTGTATATGAGAGGAAAAGGAAAGGGCTTCTGAGAGGATTCTTAGTTGTTTCTTTTGAATTCACTTTTAATAGCAGGATTTGGAAAATACTAATTTCTATGCTTAAGGATCACAGGTTCTGGGCTCTCAACTGATATGTAAGGTGACATTCATTTTTATTAGGTCTAACATCTCAAGCTAAAGGAGAAAAAAAAACCTTCTTTTAAATGGCAAAGACCTTCGTTAGCAGCACACTTTTATAAACAACCATATAGTTAAAATGTGGCCTTAAACCTTCAATTACTAAATGATTACTAAGTTGGATATTTTAAAATGTCTTATAGATAAGCTTAAAGTAATATATTGAAACTGTAACAGTTGTACTGTTAAAACTCATGGACTTTCTGAAAAACTAAAGATGTAGAATAATATCTAACACTCTTAACAACTGGAAGATATAAAATGTAACTTGGATTTAAAGGGGAAGAGCTAAAGATCTGAATTATAGTTTCATTAGAACCAGACAGACGATTGTTGAGAAGTACTAAATAAATTAGTAATCTAGATATCTTTATTATGTAAATGAGTTTAGGTGTTCTATTTAATAAGCTATTTTCTGGGAACCATCTCCTTTTATATTAGTCTACTTAGTGTAGATGGTAAATAATGATTATGATACTGTCTGTAAATAAAAAATTACAGATTTTATTTTCCTTTTTTAGTTCCTTATAAAGAAAACAGCTTCATAATCAATATCTAAAAATGTACTCATTACATAACTGTTTATTGGATTTTATCAAGAAAAAAGTGTAATGGGCATGGTGGCATGCACCTGTAGTCCCAGCTACTTGGGAGGCTAAGGGAAGAGGATAAACTGAGCCCAGAAGTTGGAGGCTGCAGTGAGTTATGGTTGCTCCACTGCACTCCAGCCTGGGCAACTGAATGAGACCCCAACTCAAAAAAAGTGCTGTTCTAGAAACAGAGATGCTAAGGTGAGCAACTTGGGGTAAGGGCTATCTTTTCATGGCACTTATTTTCTAATGAGGGAAAACTGACAGTAACTCAGTAAAGAAATGCATATGCAGAAAATAGCAAGTGATTATGAAAATGAAATAAAGTTCCATGATAGAGAGAAACTGCGGGCTCTCAGGGCCTCCCTGAGAGTGTGCATTTTAATTATTACAACCAACTGCCTCAAAACCAGTGGCCACTAGTCACAAGGGGGAGCTCTGAGAGAAAGTATGAATGAATTTCTAGGAGGCAAACCATCATCATTAGAAATACAATTTGAAGAGCGTACCACTAAGAATGGAATCCTTGTGGCCTGCAACAGTTAACCCAGCTTCCAAAAGCAGCTCTTCGCTACTGTTATAATAATTTACACACTGAGACAGTCTACTTCCATAATTTTTTAAGTATTGGGACTTCATTTTTTAAAAGATGTTATATGATGTGGCAGTTGCGTATTTATGACTCAAAAGAATAATTGGCTTGAACTCACCAGATGGTATAAAAGCCCAATTTAACAATCTTTTGAGTGGAATTAAAGTTCTGTTCTTTTCAATGGACTTGTAAAAACTGCTAATCAACCAGCCTTCCTGTCAGGGTATATAGTCACACATAGTAATTTGACAAAACACACCATTCGGAAAGTGACTTTGCAGAAATAAGCAGTATTGCTTGTCAATGATCCATGCTTTGGTGTTTAGTATTGAACAACACCTCCGGAGAATCTAGACCCATGGACAGATCACACACTTCTTGCCATTACTGAATTTGCAGAAATAGCACTGAAGTATTCCGCTACACTTACATATATGCAATTTTTTTGAAATTTTTTTTCACTTTTTTTTTTTTAATGGAGTCTCACTCTGTTGCCACGCAGGAGTACAGTGGCGTGATCTCAGCTCACTGCAACCTTCGACTGCCTGGTTCAAGCGAGTTTCCTGCCTCAGCCTCCTGAGTAGCTGGGATTACCGGCGCACACCAACACGCCTAGCTAATTTTTGTATTTTTAGTAAAGACAGGGTTTCACCATGTTGGCCAGGATGGTCTCAATCTCCTGACCTCGTGATCCACCCACCCCAGTCTCCCGAAGTGCTGGGATTACAGGCATGAGCCGCCGCACCCAGCCTCATGTGTATTTTTAATCTGAACTAGATTTTGTAGCTATAAGACAAAAAGAAAAAAAAAAGTAGCAGGTAATGGGTATATTATACACTATTTTGGTGATGGTTACACCAGACTTTACCACTACATACTGTATTTATGTAACAAAATTACACTTGTACTCCTTACATTTATGCCAAAAAAACAGCAGGATCACAAATTCACACATAGTTAATGTGCCCTTTCAAAAGTCAATTATTTTCTATAACTAATTTGAGCATCTTTATAGACTCTGAGTAATGGAAATTCTTGGGTTTTTCCATTTAACAGTATCTTGGGCTCTTACAATTACAACAGTCTTCTTTCAAGTTTAAATGTTTACTGAATGTTCACTTAAACATTGTCTTTTGGAGTTTCTTTACTCTTTTCAAAATGGTGGTTGGATATATGAGAACTTGCTGTGTCCTGATAGTGTTGAGGGGAGAAGGTGATAACTTACGGTGGATGTATGTTAGCTGATGTGCACTGAGAATAGCTGTCTGGCCTCACTCTTGGGAATTCTGCTGGCACCTGCTGTTAAGTCTGCAGTTGCTGTAATCTGTAGTCTGTTCTCTTTGATTTGGCCTCATTCTGGCTGTCCCTGGTGCTGTCTTATCTCTTGAGAAGTGACTGTGTCTCCTGTTGAATTCCCTATCTGGACACTGCAGTTCTTGGCTACAAGGCAGTCACTTCACCCCTGCAGTGGTGAGATCCTATTAGCTACCATTAGCTACTCTTTTAGTACAGAAAGGCAAAATGCCCTAGCAAACAATCCCACAGTCTTGGTGGATTAACACAGCAAAGGTTTATTTCTCACCCACACCTCCATGGGCTGGCAAGAGGACTTTGCTCTATTCAGTCATTCATGGGTCCATGCTCCTCCTATATAGCCAGCCCTCTGTCTCCTAAGGCCTGGAGTCCTCCATGGGCCTCCAATCTGTGGCTGACAGAGGATGTTAACTTGAGACCCATCGTTGATTCATTATGGAGCTTCCACAGGCTGTTGAAATACATCCTCTAAGTCAACAGTCTTCGAACTGGGGACACATGCCTTAGGAATACAGGAGCATGGGTATTTTAAGAAACTTAATTTCCAGAATCTTCATGTATATTTTTTCTTATAACTGATTTGCCTGAGAGCACCCCTGGTTCTTCTTTCCCACCTCTCTTTACACAAATGCCTTTCTCTACCTTTAAAAAGAAAAAGAAATGGCTTTCATTTCAGATCTTACTATGGGAAAATCCTCCATGGCTCCAAAGAAAAATATTCAAAGTATTGATGTCAGTGAAGCTTCTTTTAATAAAGAAATCATAAACTCATTCTGTAGATCCTCATGTCTTTTTCTGTGTTAGAACATTTTTCTGTTAAAGTTGAAGCAATGACTTAGAAATGAGTTATTTTGCCCCATGTTCATATTCTGAATTAATATGTATTATACAGTGGAACAGCTGGAGTGCTAACCACCTTCATTTGAGAATTTATCTCATCTATTACCTGACTATTGTCAGAGAACAGGCTATAGAAAAAGTCTGGTGAAAGCAAAGTGAAGTGTGTGTTGCTAAGAACCTAACATATTATGTTATCCAGAAGAAAGTCCCAAGGTATGTTATCCAGAAGAAAGTCCCATAGATTTCTATGTGAGTTGTGAGGATCAGTATTAACAAGCTTCTTTGAACTGAAAAATGAATTCAGACCTTTTCTGAACTTTTTTTTTATTTGGCTCATTGGTTTGACAACAAGGATTGACTTTACCCATTAAGTTTCATGATGAACATTTTGTGTTAATTGAATGAACTAAATCTGCTGCTCTTGTGTTCTGATTAAAGCTTGTAATATGATAAAGGCATTTTAATAGAAAATAGTATTGACCGAACTATAATGAATTGATATTTTACTTTTCCCAGCCTTCATTTGTATATTAGGTAAAGCAAGGTGCCTGTAAGTGAAAGAGTAACAGGCATAATGAACAGTTACTTGAAGGGTCTTAGTAAAGCCTTTTAATTTTACTTGTAGGAAATTGACATGAATCATTCTAATGACTGGGTAACAAATCATTTTGCAAGTAGGGTGCTTCTAGTTCTTTGTGTTACAAAAAACTGAAGGAGGACATAATCAAACAGTTAGCTGATAGATGATAGAAAAATTTTTTAATGTAGAATCACTGATTTTTTTTTTTGGCACCTATGAGAAAGGAATTCAAATAATAGAGGGATATTGTTATAACAAACCTCCTTTTATTCCCATCTACCTATTTAATATGAACAAAGTTTCCATGTTAAGATAAGTTAGAGTATGCTGTGGAAACAAATCCTGCAATACCAGTGGTTAAAAACAAAACTCAGAAGTTAATGTATTGATCATGCGAAGCCTGCTATGGTCAGGACGCTTGCCTCCAAGCAGTAGCTCACAGGTCCAGGCTGTGTCCTACCTCCAGAACATGGGGCTTCCAGTGCTGCTTTGGCACTAGAGAACTGTTAAGTTCCCGGGTTTAGGAAGAAACACTTGGCACTTCCACTCGTGTGTCATTGGCTGGAACTAGTCACATGACCTAAGCTAACTGAAAGGAAGTCCAGGAAGTCTTCTGCTTCGTGTGCTCAGGAAAAAGAGGATAACTGACTACAGTTAGCACCAGCAATTTCTACCAGAGTTTCTCAGCATGTATACCTACAAAAAAAGGAAAGAGAGAACGGAATTGATGCTGAAGCTTGATTTATACTAGCAATTTT